ACACACACACACACACACACACACACACACACACAGAGCCATCTCTCTCTTTTTGCTATTCAGTCCACATGTGTGAAGGGCATCAGAGAAGGCCACTTTCACACCGTGGGCAGAGTGTGTGTCTCTGTCTGTGTGTGTGTGTGTGTGTGTGTGTGTGTGTATGAGCGTGTCCTTGTGTTCGTGTGTGCAGGGTGGGTGCCGTTGCCAAGGGGATGCCATGGTTACGAGGTGCCAGCCAACCAGCTGACGGTGTCTCTCTAGAAGTGGCAGCGTCTTTGTCCTTCATTCGCGGTGACAGGCCACGCCGATGCCTCCCAGCGCCGCTAACTGGACCAGACAGCAGAAGCGCTGGGACTGCAGGACTGTGTGATGGCTGAGCAGCCCTCCCTATCGATCCCTCTGCTCGCTGCGTGTTTAAGAGTGTGTGGAAGAAAGTGAGAGAAAAAGGAGCCAGAGACAGGCTGCTGGATGGAAGGATGGAGTAGATCGGCTGGAGGCTATGAATTATATATGGACCCAATCTGTTCTCAGGGCAGCTTGGGCTCATTGCTCCTCCAAACTCCTGACTCAACTCACCATGCACACACACACACACACACACACACACACACACAAACACACATACACACAGAGGGTACACCAGAATAAACCACCCGCAAAAAATAAAAGGACAGCTTTTAACATATTAAATCCAGAGAAAAGCTACTCTTCCCTTCTCCCTCCCCTCCTTCCCAAACATCAAACAGCTCAGGATGGATGGATGGAGGAGAAGCCATTTATTTTGCCCATCTAATGAAAGCAGAGCGCTCCGCAGCGCTGCCAAGACTGCAAGCGACAAAGCGCCACAGGCAGCATCCCCCGTTCTTGACATTCAAGCGCTGCTCTTATTTATTTAGCAAATTTACTTACTAAGGAGGTCAGAAATGAATTATTTGGCGAGGATTTGCCTGGGAGCACTCTCCTCTCCTCTCTTCTTCCCTCTTCCAACATTTTTCTCCCTTCAATTTCCCTTTTATTTACGGCTTTTTTTTTTTCTTTTTTTTTCTGAGCTTTGCTCTTCTTCTACTAAGTGCTTATTTTTCCGACAGTTTGCCCGTTCCTATAGCTCCAGGAACTTTTTGTAGAGTGTCGCCGGCAGCGCTGGAAACCCATTTGAAAAGCCAATTCTGTCCTCAGAAGCTGCTGCCAAGAAAAGCTTATACCTTTTAATACTTTGTGTTCTCCTCTCTTCTCTGAAAAAAAAAAAAAAAAATCCCCCAACATCAATCTCCAACCTTAAAATTTTTTACTTTTTTTTGCACTGCACCTTTCTTCCAAACAAAACTTGTACCTCCTCCACAGTGACAGGCTCGACATCGGACGCATTACATGAACACAGCATATCAAGCTGATAACTGGCAGCCAAGTAACCCCAAAAAACTACACTTTGATATGTGTTTCTCTGCCAGATTGACCAGCATCTATTTTCAAAATTAGGTGCACGAACAACACATTTGTGCAGTTTAACTTCTTCGGTATCGCAGCAACTGGGAGGATAAATTACTAGAATACAGACGTGATGATGAGCAAGACGTTCAGAAAGTTAGAAAGCCTTATTTCACTAGTTTAACATATAGAAGAGCAACAGGATTTTTTTAAAACGCTCCTCGACTCTCGAGGCCAACGCCGCTCCTCTCAACAACAAATCAAACTGATTAACCGATAGAAGTGGGACATTTGTTTCTGCTGGTGGAGGAGAAACTCTGAGAAGGCTCGGGAGAAAAAAAAAAAAAACCCACTCCGTATGCCACACTTTATGAAGATTTAATCTCGACCCACGCCTGAAGCCATTGGATACCAAAAAAGTGGCCCTCCTCTGTTCATTTGGAATTCTTTTCACTCAGTGTAATGAAGCCGGAGTGTGTCGACTAGCGCGCGAGTCAGGAAGACGGGGGATGAGAGGCAGAAATGAAGAGGATTACTGGTGGGGATGCAGCGAAAGGGAAAGAGGAGAAGAAGCGGAGACCAAGCCGACGAAATCTTTGCTAACTAGCCCCTGATTCGGAAGGTTGGGAGCGGGTGGCTGTGGCAGCCGGGGTTGATGCATCAAAGAGCGCAACTAGACATGCGGTATGACTAACAACTTGTTTCTCAGACAGAGAAGAACTAGGTCTGAATGTTTCACAATGTTGCACTGAGATCTGGAGCGCAAACGGGGTGCTGGAGCCTTTAACTGCAGGTTTTTCGGAGGCCAATTTTCCCCTGATCTCCCTCAGATGTTCTAAAGTGGGATCTGAGGAAGAAAAACATAACAAGTCTGTGTTGGAGACAGCAGAGAACAAAAAGCAAATTGGGAGGAAGAAAGACTGAGGGAGATAAAACAGTCTGGGTAGGATAACAGAGCTTGCACAGAGACGGAGAGGGCGATACAGTTGGGAGAGTTGGTTAAAAAAGAGTGAAACAGGTGGGAGGAGAGAGAAGAGAAGCAGACAAGGAGGGATGAAAGAGGCAGAATGAGCAACAGCAGACAGGAACAACAGTGAAGGTGAGACTTTGACAGAGGATTCTGCAAAAATGTCCATCATAACAAAACATTTTGGCACATTTAAAAAAAAAAGAAAACTGACAAAAAGACTTTCTTTCAAGAGAATAATTCCTATTATTTGCAAAAAAAAAAATGCAACATTCTAAATAATAAAAAAAACAGGTCGTATAAATATGACAAATCATTCAAATCTGGGAACACAGATCTGCCATGGAAACCAATTGTCTCACCTAGTTGGCAATTTAAAAAGAAAAAAAAAAGTATTTTGTTGTTCTAAATATGCAATCTCTGCTTGTTTTGCTTTTGGAAGTAGGTTCACAATTGGGAAGTTAGCATCGACAGCCACCGCAGCCCGAAGAGGGAAAGAAAAGACAGATTTCAAACAGAAAATAGAAAAAGACACACAACACATTAATGACTGCTTCATGCCAAAAGATGGAGATAAAAAAAAAAAACACCAAACAAAAGGAGCCGGGGATACTTTCACTGTTGACAATGAAACAAAATGGATCGCTGTAAAGTTGGAGAAACAACACAAACATACTTTTTCTTAACCAGATTTGTAAACAAGTCAAAAAAAGAAAGCGAGTCGGAGAGAGAGAGGAGAGGAAGCAAGAGCCTTCACCTCCAGCAGCAGCAGCAGCAACGGCGAGCGACACCTCTCTGGTGTCTTGGTGAATGTGAGGAGAGACTGACAGGCAGTCTGATTGGTCCCAGCAGTGGGGATCATGTCATGCCACTTCTTATTGACAGCCCAGCCATCTCTTAATGGCTTGGCCAGCATTTGCATTGCTGTGTGTGTTTTGC